GAATTCTTTTTTCTTGCAACTATTACTATCGTCCGGTATTATTTATGCCGTTGTGCTAGAGGCTACTAGAGAATCACATCTATTTAAAGTTGGTGTCCTCAGACTTTGTTTGGGACGAAGAATATTTCCAGGCTCACTTGGCTGGCAAGCAATTACTGTTTTGATTCGGATTATGTTCGAATGTATGTTCTGCTGCACGAAAGTCAAAGAGCTTAAAGATCAAAGGGATTTACATAAAGAATACTGTGGACCCTGCCACAGGGGTACGCAATTAATAGCTAGGTACAGGGAATCAGCAGGGCGCTCGGCAGACTGCGGCTTGACACTGCTAGCATAGATAGATTTACTTGAGTAATCTAGTTGGGCACTATAGGCTTATATTTGAGGTCATTCGGAACAGATCCAACCATAATTAGGCGGTCTGGAGTGCAGTAGACCAGGTTATTGCGCATGGTGGCTTACTCGGCGAACTATCCAGCACATAACATTTATATTTAACAGGTATTTGTATGTATTTTGGGGCTGAGCTGATGAGCGAGACGCTGAAGGATTCACTTCTATTTCTGGAACTTGATAGTTGAGTCAACTAAGTATCCGTTTTGTTCCGTGAGCGTACGCATGTCATTTTCTTCACTTCTTCTTGGCGTCTCCCTCGTTTTTATCAAGAAACTTGAATCCACTATCGGCCCATGCATATGGTCTTCCCTGGTCTTCCATTAGAATTTTCCAGGTGACTGTCACAACGTTCAAAATTGAAGGTCTAAAGGTGCAAGTTCGCAAAATGCAATGCCACAGTCAAACAAATCGTCACTGTAACGACAATGGTCATCGTTTGTCTTCCCCTAACATTGGCAAAAAGGCTCTCATAATTTCGACCATATATTGAAAGCGTAATATATCTCATAAAAATACACTCTCTGCACGGTCATCTCAAGGGATAATGAGCAACCTAAGTTTGCAGGGTGTGCCATACGGCACTTTGGAGCGGCAAGGGGATTGCAAACCGTTATGATACAGGATCATTTTTACCTTGGCCTAAGATTTTATAATACGCTCTTATCTCCGTATGTCAGCATTATCAATAGAAATAGAATATGTATATATTTACCACCACAATACCTTTATTTATAATTATATGCTCTTTCTCTACATTCAGCTCTGCTTTACTCTTGCACGATGCGAATAATAGAATGTTTATGTTGCAGATGTGGAGACAATAAGTCTCGTTCAGCGCTCAGGGAATGACCCCGACTCGGTTCCTCACATGGTGGAGACAGACCTGAACAGACTCCAATAAATGATCCGAGATAACTGGCCCTTACCCTCCCTTACAGTATTGAGATTAAAATGGAATCCGAACGAAGAGACTACTGTAAGTATTTTAAATTTCTGACACTGATTCATAAAGGAAACGAAGGCGTAGTAGTATTTAGATTAAAGTCAGAGTAACTTGAGGGTCTAAATGGCGAATGGAACGCAATGGAACGCCACGAGTAGCCAATCAAATAGGATCTCTGAAAAAAGAAAAAGAAAACTAAGCGTCTGAGAAGGGCCTTCAGGATTTGCAGATGGAAAGCCAGCCTCCTTGGTATAGCAACCT